AAAACTGGTCAAAACTGAATAAAGAATAAATAGAAAACCTGGACAGCTCTATGATGATTAAATAATTTGATTCAAGTAGCTTAAAAATCTACCCACACATCCTAAGTGCCCATCAATGGATGAATGGATAACCAAACTATGGTACAGACACACAACGGAATGCTATGAAACATTCAAGAATAATGAAGAATCTGCAAAACACCTTACAATGTGGATGAACTTGTAGGACATTATGCTGAGTGAAATAAATCAACTGCAGAAAAACAATTATTATATGAACCCACTATTCTAAAAAGTCAGTGAAAGGTTAACACACAGAAGAAAATTATCTTCGTTGGCTACCAAGGATGGGAGGGGTGGGGAGGAAAAATTGCTAACTAGGTAACAGACACATATTGCTTTGGATGAAGGAAAAGGCAATGTAACAAAAGCAGGTGACCAGCACAGTATCACTAAGGAAAAGAAAGACACAGAGAAGTACACAAGAGGTATAAACAACAAAGGTAAATATTATTATATACATGATACAGCATTATCAGTAATAACAAACATTAATGCATAGGTGGATACACAGGTAGACAGACATGATGATCAGGTAGGGGTAAATGAATGGGAATATACCCATGACCATACATGTAGGTTTGGCAGGTAATACTTCTATATACATGTATTTGTACATGATACAAAAATGTCCATGTATACAATAGAGTGAACAGGGGGCAAAGTTGTGGTAACTTCTTAGCCATAACCAAACAGCTTGAGGAAGTAAGTCACTTGGCCTACAGGCTAGGGACATGGTCACAGAGAACATCAAGCTCAACTGGCATAACAAAGTACATTGTTCTACATCCTACTTAAGGTGTGTAGTGACTGGCATCTTAAAACCTTGCCAGCTGCCAAGATGTAACTATTGGTCTCTCCTCAACTAGAGCAAAGAAAAGTGAAGAAAATCAAAGACATATGGAAACAATTAATCCAAGGGACTAGTGAACCATGGGAACCTGAGCCTATATGACCCTGACATCAGAAGAACTACACAGTGTCCACCTAACACTACCAACCAGTAGGAAAGGGATGAAAATAGGAGATCCCAGATAGAACGGCAGAAAAACGTAGAACAAACCTCAAAATCTCAAAAAATAACCAGGATTACTGGTTTGATAGAGAGAGACTGGTGAAACTTCTGAGAACGTGGCCCCCGAGTCATCTGTCACACTTGGAATTGAATTCACTCCTAAAGCTTAACCTTCAGCCAAACAATAGATGGCCTATGAGCTGAACCACTACACCAGGGCAGTGAACTCCTCAGAACAATCAAC